TGCAATGCATCATTTGATTTCTTGACTGCTGCTTCCATAAGTGCTGATAGTTGATCCAAGCAAAATGTAGTCTTTTACAACTTCAATCTTTTCTCCTTTTATATGAATGCTGTTTATTCACCCAGTGGTGAGGATTTTTGTTTTGCTTACATTGAGATGCAACCCCTACCGAAGGCTGTGATGAACCATACATTGATTATGTATTAGCTGTTATATAGATTATGGGTTATGTATTAGGTTATATATAGAATAGATTAGATTGCAATAACAATAGGTGTTGGCAAAGAAAGAGAACCAGAGTTGAAGAACATTACAGGAAGAAGAAATAGCACAACCAGAAGAATGGAGACAGGAAAAAGTCTAATATATTTGGGGATTTATGTTATTCTGTAAAGGTAATTTGAGAGATCCTAAAATAGTTAATTAAAAAATCAATTGCTTTCTAGTTGATTCCTACTTAAGGAGACCCCATGTGTTTTAGAACAGAACTATTCCATAGGATTTTCAATAACTGTGGTCATTCAGAAGTAAATTGCTAGGCCTTTATTCAAGGTACCTTTTAGTGGATTCAAACTTTCAAACTTTTGGTTTGTAGCTTAAGGAGTTAACTGTTTGTTTCAGTCAAAGCCTCTGATGGTTAGTTTTTAATTTGGTTGAGACCTTCCTTAGAAAGTATGTCAGTGGATTTCAACTCTCTCAGAGATATTGAGTATCACATAGATACCTGTTTAGTCCATAATGGAAGATTGCTGAATTGAGTAAGGTATTTGTTATGTATTAGAAGTGCCAGACTCTTTTAAACAATATAGATCTGGTCCAGACAGACAGCAGTCTTCTGCTGAGCTCCTCTGATTGAGTTCATTGAGTGTGGGTACAATATTTGTTGTTCTTAAAGCACCCGATATGGGGCCTGGCACTTAGTAAGAACTGAGAAATATTTCTAAAAAACAGTACAGATGAAAGCTTGTAAGTCCATCTTCTGCCTATAACTGATTGGAATACCTAAAATAGGGCTACAACATGACCAATGAAGGAAGCTTCTTGTGGAGCCTCTGCATCACATAAGACCATAGGTAGAATCCTGAACTGCATCCAGAATCTTCTGAGGTGGGAAATTTTCACTGGAAAGGACAAGCAGACCAGCCTGGAGTGGCTAGAAGAACAGGAGATACTTCTTGAAAGAAAGACTGAGAGGAAAATTACAAAACAATAATGGCAGTCCGACTGACTACTACAAGAACAAGCCAGTTGCTTGCCTAGGAGACATCAAGACAAGTGGTCGGGTCCCCTCAGGGCAAACACCCTTCTAAGAGTAAGATTCAATGGGAATACATGAGCAGACAAGCAGACATGTGCTCTGACTGGTGACCACATTGGTCACCGATAAGGGGAAGTGAGGGAAAAACAACAATGAAACTGGGAGCTAAGTCCAACCACATTTAATAGACTCCTGTGAACCCAGGTGGAGGCCTGGTTGGCCAGCAGTTTCACAAGACGTGGGGACTCCTTGGCCCAGAGTCAGTGACATAGCCACAGAGGACTAGCGGGAGAATGAGGTGTCCAGCTGATAAGAAGAGAGGGCATACGCACAAGAAAACCCACACTTTCAGATAATACCCACTTGACCTGGCTTCAATGGTTGGGTGATCAGAGCACAACTAGAAGAAGAAAGAAGAGGGAAAAAAGAGCAATTTGGTAAAATTTGATGAACTTGACCTACGCCTATGGATGCAGTAGCTCAAAAGAGGGAACAAATCTTTACAGCAAGGATCATTCCTACTTCCTCAATACATAGGGTAGACAGGGATGGGCAACTTGGACATTGGCTACCCAAAATGGGGCTACAAAGGCAAGAAGTGACAGGCTTACAAGCTTTCAAGAGGGAGCCTAGATCCGGAGGGCATGGAGGAAGGTAAATATCCACTGAGTAGTATCCTATCTGTCTGGGTGGGACTGACGATAGGAAATGGGGATAGCACTCATGTGGCACAATAGTGAATAATTACTAAGGACTGACTGTGAGGGTTAGAAATGTAAAGGTAGATGTTTTGTAGCAAAAGGAGGGGAGTGGTTGACTTTGCAGCCTAGGAGCAGAGGCCCCTGGGACCATCAAGAGAGAAGAGTGGAGTGCCAGGACCCTACCCAGAAAAGCAGTGATGCCAGAGATGGAGGCGGAGATGATGAAGTGGAGAGATGGAGTGGCTGGGAACTCTAAACCCAGAGAGGGAGAGGGCTGTGTGCTGATGACTGGGGGGCAGGTTGTAGTGTATACCCTTTGGTTGGTTGATGATGTATGGAGGGGATTGTAACTATGGCAATGAGATGATAGATAATAGGATGAATGTAAAGCTAATGTTCTCCCATGTAAACTATTAAATAATTCACAATAAAACTGTTAAAACAAAATAGTACAGATATATCTTGATCAAGTGATTGATTTTTCTTACCTAAATCATCAAAGGCCTAATTTTTATTTACTCTTTTTTAAAAAATATTTTTATTACTCTTTTGAATATTTGTTTTTATTTAATCTTTTCATGGATATAAGAAGGGATTTAATGATTTAAATAAATAACCATTTGAACAAGTATATTTAAATGTCAGTAATCATGTACTGTAAAATATATTTAAATGATGCAAGAGAATGTTTGTTTTCAAGCAATGTCTCTCACCCCAGACCTTCTCAGTTCTCCAGCATTCTCTCCACCAATGATAGTAACTTCTTGTATAATTTTTTTCAGAAATACTATATGAATATATAAGAACAAAAATATCTGTCTGTGTAAATACATATGGTTGTTGGTTTTAGGTGCCGTCGTGTTGGTTCTCACTCATAGCAACCATATGCACAAGAGAATAAAACACTGCCTCCTGTACCATCCTCAAAATTGCTCTGATGTTTGAGCCCATTGTTGCTGTCACTGTGTTCATCCAGCCATTGGCAGCCTCTTACTTTTAAGT